GCGACGTTGAGGCCGTGGTCGAGGCGGCTGCTTGCGGAGTGCAGTGTAGCGGCGGCGCAGTGCTGGGAGGCTGAGTCCTCTTAGCCATGATGGCATAGTGCTGTTGGACCGATGTCGCGGTCCGGCCGCTGCCGAGATCTCGCGCGATCACGTCCCATCCACACCGACGATTGGCGTCCACGAGAGTCTGCAGCCGCCGCTCCTCCTCATAGCTCCAGCGTTTTGCTGGACCGTTGGAGCGCCCTTTTGTGGCTGCAACCTCGCCCTTTTGTGGCTGCTGGTGCAACTCGGGTGGCTGCAGGCCCTCGGCGCCTCGCTCCTCGCTCGCGGTCGTGGGCGCGGTCGTGGGCAAGGTCTCCTCGCTGCGGGGCTCGGGTTGCACGCTCGCGCTCAAGAATTCTCGTGGTGGGAGCGACAACGTCTCGCTCGGCATCTACACCTCGCCAGCCCTTCTTTGGGCACGCAAAAAGAATTTTCAGTGTATGTAGCTCTTACGTACATTCGTTTTAGATGAAGTCCGTCGCAAAACACTGAGAAGGGACTGGCGCGCACTGGCACTAACACAGGTACACCACTGGAGCCGCCTAAGCGACTCCCGCGAGGACGGCGAGGCACTTAGCTCCGTGGCACTCGACCGCCCTCGCCGCTGGGCGCTGGCAAGCTCAAAGAAAACACACGGCCAAGCACTCGCGCGCAAAGGAACAACACAGTAACCAATCCTAACCTAACCAATGGAGTTCCAATGGAGTTCTTGAATAAAGGAGATGATCGAGGGGTCCCGTACCATGCGGAACCGACCCTATCCAGTGCTCAAGTGCTCAATAAAGCCCTCTCGCACAGCACACTGGCACAACGAGGGACTGGCGCAGACTAGCACACACACACCGGCACACCGCACGAAAAATAAAAAATAAAACGCTGTCTGACAACACCAGACACGGGACTGGCGCGCACTGGCACACACAGGTCCACCACGGGAGCCGCCTAAGCGACTCCTGCGAGGACGGTGAGGCACTTAGCTCCGTGCACTCGACCGCCCTCGCCCGCTCGCCGCAGGCTCCAGGCAAGCTCATTCACAATCTGCTCTGCGGTTGCCGTGTGAAGAACGACTGAGATACGCTGCTTCTGCAGCCCTAGCCAATTCTTGGTGGTCCAAGTCACCCCTCTCAAAAGAATTTTACCATCGCGCTGGCTCTCACACCGCAGCACTATAGGCACGGTACTGGCGCGCACTGGACTGTGTTGGTACACCACGGGAGTCAGTCACCTAAGCGACTCCTGCAGAAAAGAACTGACTGCGCGAGCTGCCCCTGGTTGACGACGGCTTTCCTTAGAAGCCGTCGTGCTCGCTTCGTGTCGACCTCAAGAGCCGCCGTCTGAATTCCCCTCAAACACCCGCCCCACCCCGCCCCACCCCGCCCCCGTTCCGACCCACCCCGCCCCGGACCCTCCCCAAAGGCAAAGCCGCAAAAGAATTCGCACGTTTTTTGAGCGATCTGCTGCCGGCGATGGAGAGAGTGGCCGCGTAAAGCTGCTGTGAAGGATCGCGAGGGGAGGCCTGCGCCCTCGACGATGGAGAGGGTAGAATTTATGTATGTAAAAGAGGGAAGGTGAGTTTTGGACGGAGGGTGGACGCGTCCAAGGGGTGGGGGGGTACGGGGGAGGGGGGTTACCTTCGACCAAAAGCGTGACACTGCGGAGGGGCTGGGGTGTGGAGAGCGAGTCGTAACACATCGGAACACATCGGAACGCCCCTGCTAGCGAGGCCTGGGCGGCGATGATGCTACAGAGAGTAGAAAGCCATCGCCAAGTGGGAGTGTGTGTCGTCACGTGTCCATGTCTGGTGTTTACTAGCTCCGAGTAGAGGGGGCGTTCTGCTGCTATGGGAAACCCGGAGCGCGGAGCCAACCCTCGCAGAACCGTGTAGGCGTGTTTACTTGACGGCCCTTTCCTTGCGAACGCGCATCCCCCAGGGCTAGGGCTCTCTAGCCCGTAACCCGATGCCGATCATCTGGCCCGCTGGGTGCGCTTCTTAGCTCCCCGGCCCTGGATGTGAGGTTGATGACTGCACTCCAAGTGCTCCAAGTAGAAATATCTCCTTGGTTGGGACCCTCACCGTTCACCCCGTCGTCTGGCTGTGTGGCTGTGGGTGATCGAGTGGGTAACCCTGCCCAGCCCCTCTCTTTCAGAGCGAAAAGGGCATATGTTTTTGACCGTCATTTTGACCCAATAAACGCAAACCACGTTCTCCATTGGTAATGGTATTAAATGTGGTCTGGAGTATGCCATTGCCGAAGTCTTGGCGAAGCCACCATCCACCAAACGAGGGGCGCGCGCCACCGCCAGCCGCCACCGCGCACCGGCACCGCCAGGAAGCGTTTCGGTTTCGCTTAAATCAATAAAAACGGACACATCTACTAGGGGATGGGTCAAGGAGCAAGTCCCCGCCCATCTCTTTAGATCTAAAGTTAGCTTTTGGGTTGAGTGAGAACTGAGCTGGTGAACTCTTATCTCTGGACGTGTACTGGTGACAGGCAACGGGGAAGATAGACCTTGAGGGATAGACCCGTACCAAGCGCGAGTTTGACGGTCGACCAGGCGCAGGCCTGCACGTCGCAAGCTAGATCACGGGCGGGTCACAAAGACCCTGCGCACCGGCTCGCGCAGCCGCGAAGGTCTCGTCGCCGCCTTGGCCGCTGCCCTCTTCTTGCCGCCTTGCGTGCCGTAGTAGAAGGTCCCGGCCTTCTTCATCTCGCCCTTGAAGCTCTTCTTCTCGGCCGCCTTCACTCCCAGCGCCACCGGATCCCATTTAAGACCAGCCTACAGAGGCGCGAAACGACTGATCAAGACAGCTCCGCATCCCGCAAGGCCGCCGCCGCTGTGACGCGACCCCGTCAGCGCAAGGCTTGTCCATCTTACACTTGTTGGCGCCAGGCGGCCGCGAGTCCTTCTTCTTCGGCAGCGCCCACACAGGCTTGGGCTTCGGAGGAGCAGCCGATGCTGCGAGCGGCGATGCGAGGGACGCCACCGCCGCGGTGGCAAAGCTGGAGATCGCGAGTCGGCGGCCGATCGCGGTTCCGCGATCGGCCACGGCGGGCGGCTGCAGCGAAAGGGTGGCGAGGAGGCAGGTGAGCATATACAACGTGTGTGTACCGCCACGCTTGTTGTCTCAGGCCGAAGACACTGCTTTGGTACCCCATCTATCGTAGTTAGTCTGAGTTAGTATCGAGGTATCGCGAGTTTTGGCACTGATAAATTCGCGCGACTCGCGGCGAGCCGAGCCAGGCCACGGCGCTCGGCCTGCTGAGTAAGACCTTCCCCGACGGCAGTGACAATTTTACCCGACATCAATCGTCGACGGCAAGCTCGAGAACTGCGCCTCCAAAGTCGCCCTACGTGTCGCGATGCAAGTGCCAAAAAGGTGATGGTAAAAGAGCAGTGTTGTTTGCGGCTATTGCTCAAAACTTTGGGAGAGAAGGCCTACATATTATGACTGCACCCATGACCCTGGTGCATGAGGGCTGCGGGACGGGACATATCACGGTCGGTGGCACCAATGACGACCTCCGGAATGCCCTCATTTCACTCCAGAGCTCCTCGGCTCTCTCCTCTGCCGAGCTGCTGCAGCGCCAGCTTCGCGCGCTGGGTTTTTTGGACCAGCTCGAGCTCGCGGCCGACGAGCCGCAGCCGCTCGAGTGTGCTGCGCGCCTGCAACGCCTTCATGCGAGCGGCGGGCTCCAGCCAGCCGCAGGCGGAGTAGGAGGCCAGCTGCAAGCTCGCTTCGCGCTCGCTGCGCACGTTCCACAGCGCGTGCAGCTCCGCCAGCGTGCTAGCGGGAGGCGCGTCGAGGCCTTTCCATTGCAGCGTTGCTCGAGCCGCCGCGACTCGCGCCTGAAGGTAAGATGCTGCGTGGGTGAGCGTGAGAGTGAGTGTGTGGTGTGATGTGGTGTGGTGTGGTGCGGTGCGGTGTGGTGTGGGCGAGTGCCCGCGCCTCAAGGCTTGCCGGCCCGAGTCTGGCAGGGGGCTCCGCCCGCAAGCGCCGTGCTGCCTCAAGGCGCTTCCGCCCGGCCTCGCCGTCGTCGGGCGTCGCCTCGATGGCGCTGCCCCCCTCCCTTGCGACCAGGAGCACCTCACTGGCAAAGCAGGCTCTGCGGAGCTCCTCCACCTCATGCACCGCCCTCTCCGCCTCGTCGAGAAGTGACCCGCGCAGCGAGCGGTCGGCGTACGACGCAAAACTTGCGTGCGTCATCGCCGCGTCGAGGGAGACGACCGTGCCGTCTCCCTGCAGCATCACCCGGCTGATGCACCGCACCTCGGCCCACAGAAGGAGCGGGTCCTCCTCCGTCCAGCCAAAGACCTGCCACGGGTCGCGGAGCTCCATCACATGCAGCAAAGGGAACCAAGCGGCAACCTGCTGGTGGTTGCTCTGCTTGTCGCTCCAAGTCACGGTATGCACGTTCTTGGTGCCCTCCGCAGAGAGCAGCAGCTGAGCGAACAGGCCAGCATGATCGCCGGCGAGCTCGAGCAGGTCGGCCAGCGCCTGATGATAGACGTGCAGCTCTCTCGTTTCTCCCGGTGCCATGGCCTCGCTGCTATCGAAAGGCAGCGTCAGCGGCAGCGTGGGCCGAAGGCCGAGGCGAGCGATAGTGGCGAGCATGAAGGTGAGGCTGCAGGCGAGCATAGGTGGGAAGAGGGTGCCCTAGTCTAGGGAAAAGAATTTTCCACGCTAGTGCTAGGGAAAAGAAAAGAAAAGGGGTTTTCCGGTCGTCTGCTTTCTTTACCCTCCAGGAGATGTCTCCTCTCTTTATTCTTTAGAGATAACCGCCGTCTGCGCATGCCTTGTGGCTGGGAGGCTTGGCCCAGGCCTGAATTGAGATGGTCCCTTGTAATCGATTGTAACGTAACGAAGTGTTTTTTAAAAGAATTTTACGAGGCTAAAAAGAAACTCGCGAGCGGGAACCGGATTGGCACCGCTGGTCTGAATCCCTACTAAATCTGCCATGCTGTCGCTCTCCTTCGTCTCCAGCCCCGCGCTGCTGCTGCGCGCGCCGCCGCCACGGATGGTTGCTACCGCGCCTGCGCCGGTTTGCGCCCACGTCACCTCTCACCGCTCCGCAGCAGCCCACGCAGCGCTGTCGGCCTGCTTCCGACGCCGGTCACCGCTGCCTTGCCTCCGCATCTCACCGCGCTCGCGCTGTGTGCCGCAGACGACGGGCAAGCTCGACCTCGTCGAGCCTGTTTTTCCGGAGCAGTGCGAGTACTGCGGCGTGACCCTCTCCCGCTACGTCCTCGAGATGGCGCTCGCACCGCCACGCCCGACTTCTCGCCTCTACTCTCTCCTCCCTGCTCCGTCCGGCTTCCCCCGTTTCTGCCTCGACGCGCCGCCGCCGCCGCCTCCAGGCGCGCGCCAACCCCGACAAGCCGGACCTCGTCGAGCTCGTCTCCGTCATGACCTCGGTCGAGCGCGGGTGTGCTCCGCTCTGGCCTGCGCTGCCTTCTTGGCCTCCCACAGTCGCCTGTCGGCCTTTGTCGGCCTCCCATAGACCCTTCTTCTCGCCTGCCTGCCTCTCTCAGCTCCCTCTCTCCACACTCACTCACCGCTGCCTCGCCCGCCCCGCAGCTGCAAGACCATCTCCAACCTGGTCCGCCGCTCGCCCATGTCTGGGCTGACTGGCCTCGAGGACGGCGGAGGCTCCGTCAACGAGCTGCGAGCAGCGCCTCCTCACACCTCCGGCTGTGAACAGGCCTCGAGGACGGCGGAGGCTCCATCAACGTGCAGGGCGAGGGCCAGGAGAGGAGCGCGGCGTCATCACCAGTGCCCGAGATCACCCGAGGTTTTGATCACGACCAGGCGAGGAGCAGAAGAAGCTGGACGTCATCACCAACACGGTGCTCAAGAACGCGCTCAAGTTCTCGGGCGCCACTGGGCGTGCTCCCCTCGCAGGAGGCTGAGAGAGCGTCTCTCCACACACCGCGCGCTGTGAGCAGGCAAGATGGGAGTGCTTGCCTCGGAGGAGGAGGACGCGCCCGTCGGCCTCGACGACGATGCTGAGGAGCTCTACGAGTGGAACAAGGAGGTGGTGGTGGAGGAGGGGCAGAAGTGCATCGCCCCTCGACACGCTGGACGGCTGTTCGAGCCCCCTTCTCATTCGGGCACTTGCTCGTTCACCAGGTACGTCGCCGTCTTCGACCCGCTGGATGGCTCGTCCAACGTCGACGCAAACATCCCGACGGGCGCTCCATCTCCACCCTCGAGGCGCCGGAGGGGTGCACCTTGATTAGTCAAGAATCCGTCGTGAACTAGGCACCATCTTTGGCATTTTCGAGGAGCCGGAGGGGTGCACCGTCATGGGAGACAACGACGAGGCGGCAGAGGTTGAGGGCCCCGGCAACTCTTCGAACAGCGCCTCGTCACAACTGTGGAGGAGTGTGAACAGGTGGCGGACAAGGACTGCCTCTCCGCCACGCTCCAGTCGGGCAACAAGCTCGTCGTGGCGCGCCGCCGCCTCTTCCCGCCGAGCTCAGCCTCGAGATTTGCCAAGATCACACCCTCGAGATCGGCTCGAGATCTCGCCGCGCGCCGGCTGCCTACACTGCCTCTGCCACTCTTTGCCCAACTGGCTGATCAAGTAACGAGCTGATTTAAGGACACGTCTGCCGCGCAGGCTGGCTACTGCCTCTACTCTGCCGCGACCGAGCTTGTCATGTCCTTCGGCGGCAAGACCTGCCAGGGCTTCACGCTGGACGAGCAGGTCATTTTCATTTAATTGATGACACTTAGCCGAGAGCAGAAGTGCGCCCGGGTGCGACGCAAGTCGAAACAGGGACCTTGCCTGGACAGCGCCGGGTTTTTGCCGAGATCGTGATGATAAGGGTTGGTAAGTGATAGGTCGGTGAGTTCATCCTGACGAAGCCGAACATGCAGATCCCCAAGCGCGGCAAGCCAATCTACTCGGTCAATGAGGCGAAGCGCTGGGGGCGGGAGTAGAGGCAGTCGACTAATCACTTCATGACGTTCGCTGACTGGTGATTTAATCTCTAGGCCAACCGCTGGGACTGGGAGGCGCCGCTGCGCGACTACATCACCGCCATCCAAAAGGGCGAAGGCGAGACGGGCAAGCAGTACACTGCCCGCTACCTCGGCTCGATGGTTGGCGACATCCACCGCACCCTCCTGTACGGCGGCATCTTCGGCTACCCCGGCGACGCCAAGAACCCGAATGGCGAGCTGCGCGGTGTTTTTGAGCGGCTGGTGGAGGACCATGAATCAACTACCAGCTTGCGATCTCACTAGGCATGCTGCGGCTCCTGTACGAGGCTGATTTTGGCCACCTACTCAATTCATTACTAAACTTACTGACCAGGCAAGCTGCGGCTTCTGTACGAGGCGGCGCCCATCGCGTTTCTGATGGAGGCGGCGGGCGGCACGGCCGAATCGAGCGGCGAGCTATAGCCGAGATGTAGCCGAGATGTGATTTCAAGGCGCACACCCGGCCACGCATTGACCGCTAGTTCTGTTTGACTAGGCACCCGCATCCTGGATATCGAGCCGACCAACGTGCACCAGCGGGTGCCCTGCTTCTTCGGCTCCGCGGACGACGTCGCAGAGATGCGCTCATACTACAAGTAAGGCTGAGAGGGTTCCTCGCCGATAGAGCCGGCCGCCTGCTGATCGCTCTCGGCTGTTGCCCTCTTGTCTCCCTCTGTCACTCTTCGTCCACTACTGCTGGCAGTACGCGGTCGACTGGGCGCCAGAACCCTCTGATGAATTACTATATCATCTCTCTGGATCTCAAGTTCGTGTCGCGTGTCCTTGTGATAAGGGCGGTTTTTCTAAACCCGTACTTTGGGGGAACTCATCTGCTTGTGTGGTCGTCGTCACACAGTCACTCAGTCCGCGCTCAGACCTCTCAGATCCTCAGTTGTGCGCGACATCCAGAGATCCCACAGCCACACGCACGCGCGCGTGACACTACGGTCTACGCATATTGTTCGGGGTGCACACAAAGGGGGATTTCATTTTTTGTGTTTTCTCTCCCGTAGTCTCCGAAGTTGCAGGTATACCCCCCACATCGATTAACATCGAGCACCGCTGCGCCGTGTCGTCATCTGACATCTCAGCACTCGTGGAGCCAACAGCCTCCCACCCATCCGTCGCCGGGTCGTACCGCTCCCAGTGTTGACGGATGGTGTCACCACTGCCCTCTCCGCCAACAGCATACAGCTTGCCGTCCCGCGTGAGTTCCCCGCTCGCGCTCTACACCGCGTACGCCCCCTCCATAGCCGCCTGTGCTTCCCGCGCCAGCGCGACAATCGCCTCAGTCCCGTCGACGTGCCGCATGGTGTCCGCAATCTCGTACTGATCGCGCTCGCGCACCTGCGAGAAGGTCGTGACGCCAGCCCTGCGGACCGACTCCTCAACCTCTACCCTGCCGGTCGCAACGCCAGCGATGGCGAGAGCGAGGTCGGTGGCAAGCACCGGCGGCGCGAGCCTGCAGTGCGCCGAGACTGGGATGGCGACGGGGCGGGCAGCCAGTGCTGTGGGCAGGGGCGGAGGCACGCCGTGCTTTCGTCGTATAGTCGGGGCCAAAGGAGCGCCAATCGCCAATCACGTCGACGAGTGCGCGCAGCCCGTTGATGAATCGGCTGTTTGCCGCTCGGGCCCTCCAATTCTCCTTGCTGCCCACGACGCGGGCCGGCCCGAAGTAGGTGAACTGTTGCGACCCGAATTCCTCCAGCGCGGCCAACGCGGCGGACCGCTTCCCGGTATAAAGGCCCGGGTTTGGCCCGCCAAACCCCCATTCGGCCTCCGAGCTCACCCCCACGTAAACGAATCTCTGGGCGCCAGCAGCCTTTGCCGCCGCAGCCAGGCGCGCGTTCGGAAGGAAGTTGTCAGCGTACTGGCACTCGCTTCTTTGACTCCATGTCCATCCGCTGGCCCAACCGTTTGCGTCGGCGTACAACAGCTCGGCGCCCGGTGAGCCTGCACGGGGGGGGGGGCCGGCGTTGGAACGAGCAAGAAAGAGATGGGAGGGCGAGGGGCGCCTATGCATGAGACGACAGCGTCCACGTCGTCGGCCAGAGCAGCGGCGGGGTCCGTTGCAGCGTCTCCCTTCAGCCACTGCACCTGGGACGTCCACTCTCCGTCGAGCCTCCGCATTGAGCTTCCGAGGCTGGCCTCATCCCCGCTGCGGGACACAGAGGAGACGACACAGCCGCAGCCGACCAGGGCTCGGCACACAAACGTTCCCACGAAACCAGAGCCACCAAACACAGCGATGTGCATGGAACTTCTTTAGCAGGTCCTGGGTACCGCTGCGGCGCGGCGGGTGGATCGGGCTGCGGCGGCCGAAACGAAGTTCGGGTTAGCAGGGAGGAGGTAAAGCAAAGCTGAGTTTCTTGTGCAAATCAAGACACAGACGCGCACAGAATCACAGCGCAAAGCTGAGAGGCGCCAGAAAACGTAAGAGCCACATACACTTTAAAGTGTTTGTTGCGGACGCACGATTTATTCATCCGTCGGCGAACTGCGCTGCGCACGCCAAGGGGGGGCGGGCAGGGTGACTTAGGCTTGGCAGCGCGACGCCTCCAGCGGCCGCGCCCACGATGCTGGGATTCGTGCCGCCAGCCGACATCGTCTTCCCTGTGCGGACGGAGCCGCGGTCGTACTTTGCCAACGAACGCACGCTCCTCATGTGGTATGAGCTGTCGATGACGCTTGCTGTGCTTGGTGCTGCCCTGCAGGTAGCCGGCCCACCTGCACGCAGCCGTAGTGCCCGCTTAGCCCTTGCGCGCTCCCGCAGACCTCGAGCAACTCGTTCACCATCCAGTCGGTTGGCATTGCTCTCAGCGTACCAGCGCTCGCGTTCGTGGTTTACGCGCTGCGAATGTACTTTCTGCGCTTCTCGTCCCTCGAGTACAAGCGACCGCAGCACTTTGAAGACAAAACGGGTGCGGCGCGGTCGTGCATCTGCCGACCCGCTCCCTCGTCGCCAGCCCAGCCGTTGGCCAACGCTCGCGCTCAGGTACGCTCGTTCTCTGCCTTCTCGTCACTGGCATGGTCGTTGGCAACTCTGTTCAGGCACCTGCCGCTCGCTGCATCTACATACCGACAGCTGTTTCCCGACGCCCTCCCCCTTTTCCCTGGTCTCAGGCCCTCGTGGCGGCAAAGAAATCGAGTGGTCCCCTGACGCCCTTCAGCGACTGGCCGCTCGTGTAGCAGCAGCGTGCCCCTCGCTCGGGCGCCGCGGCCGCGGCTGGCCGCCTCTCACCACACCTTCCCGTGCGACACGCCAGCCCTGGCACGTGGCAGCCGCCCCCGGGCCATGCGCCGACCCCCGTGCCTTGACGACACGACACGAGCTACGACCTACGTATCGTCGAGTCGGGAGATCGTCAGATATAACGTAATATCTAATAACCCGGTACCCGCCGGCGCATCCGCTATAGAAAAACCATGCCGCATGCGGCCGGGGCGCGCGGGCGTTCGCTCCCCTTCGCCACACGCACTTAACTCACAAAAAAAGCTCATCGAGCTGCGCGACACACGTCACACGCGCCCCTCCAGACCCCCCCCCCCCCAGACGTAGATCTGCCCCGCTATACACAACATCGTTATCGAAGCTGTCGCTCCCGGGACTTCACCAAACATGCATGGTGGGCGGTTAGAGAGGCCCCGGCTGCGCGCCCAGTAGAAGGCCCGTGCAACCAAACACAGGCGGCTTTGTCGGCCGTGTGCGAGGGTGCCAGTGGGAGGGGGGCGGAACAGCCTCGCCCCCTCGGCATTCCCCGCCCGGGCATCACGTGGTGAAGAGCTGGATCACGTCGCTGACGTTCGCCTGGCACACGGGGCAGCAGAGGCGGCGCAGCCGCGCGGTGCACTCGAGGCAAGCGACGACGTGCCCGCACGGCGCATAGATCGTGTTGGCACGCGCGCCCCAGCACACCTTGCACGACTCCTCGTGCGAGAGGGCGTCGCCGGCGCCCTCGCCCGCCGCGCAACCGCCGCCGCCGCAGCCCGCCGCGCACGCCGTCGCCTCCGCGCAAGGCGCGCCGCCCGCGACAGCGGCCGCGTCGGTGTCGGCGGGGACAGGGGCGGCGGGGGCGGCGGGGGCGGCAGAGGGCGGCTCGTGCAAGCGGGCGAGGGCTAGCCGGGCGTGGACGCGCGCGAGGAGGAGCGCGGCGGCGCGCGTCTCGGGCGGCGCGCCTGCGGAGTTGGGACGGGCGACGGTCGGGATCCTTCATTCCCCCACTTGCTTTGTTGCGAGGCGCGCACCCTTGGAGAAGGGAGCGGGGCCGTCAAAAGAGGCGGGCGTGGCGGAGAGCCATCGGAGCAGGACCTGCACGAGGACGGAGCGCTGCGAGGGCGAGAGCAGCGGCTGCGCGGCCGACCGGTTGGCCTCGTCCGCCTGCGATTGGCGAGGCGCGAGATGGCAATCTGGTACCCCCCCCTCTCACGGCGCCCCCAGGCTCTGCGCTCACCAGGGACTCGGCGAGGGCGGTTCGCATCCGGCGCGAGCTCTGCGAGGGGTGGGGGTGGGGGGACAGGGGCTGTGAGCGCTCGACGCCCCCGCCGCCCCGCCCGTGTTAACAGCCAAGAAGGGCTGAGGGAGGCGCACTCTTCGCGCCCGCCGCTCCCGCTGCGCAAAGAGGACGGCCGCAGTTGCGGCGGTGGCGGCGGTGGCGCCGACGGCGGCGCCGAGCAGCAGCGAGGCGGCGTTGAACGGGAGCGCTCTTCGCGCGTCCGAGACGAGGGAGCGCGCGGCCACGGGGACCAGCCGCCACACCGACGAGGATGGAGGCGGCGGAGGCTCCGCGCGCGCCCATGAGAGGCGCGTCCCGACGGCGGAGAGCGCGCTCGCGGCCGTCGCGGTCACGCCGGTAAAGAAAAGGTTGTCACGGTTGGTGAGAGTGCGGACGAGGACCATCAGGCGTTTCAAGGCGAGAACGCTTCTCCACGCCGCGGCCTCTCGCTACGAAGTCGTTTTCTTCCTAATTTCTCTAGCCCGTGCCCGAGCCTGGCTGTTCTTCACCTTTCTACCTACCTAGCCCGATGCCGATCATCCGGCCCGCTGGGTGCGCTTCTTAGCTCCCCGGCCCTGGATGTGAGGTTACCGACTGCACTCCAAGTGCTCCAAGTGCTTCCTCCCCCCTACCTGAGGGAGGGTGTAGAGGATGTAGAGTGTAGAGCGCTGTAGAGCTGTAGAGATGTAGAGCGCGCTGGAGCGCTGTAGAGCTGTAGAGCTCTACATTCTACATCCTCGTCGCAGCGAGGTTGGCGAGGGCCGGCGAGAGACCGCGTCGAAGAGAGGCCCCCCCGGGGGGGGGGCCAGACGCCCGAGGGCTAACATGGGCGACCACCCACTCTTTCCTAAAAAAAAATCCCTGCGGTCCGCGCGCTGCCTTTGTGCTTTGAGCCTGTGACGTGTGAGCGTGTGTGCGGTGGTGGCGGCAGCAGCAGGCAGGCCAGCAGCAGCATCTGAGGCAGTGAGGCATCCCACCCTATCTATTCATTCTTTCCCCTCTCCCTCTTGACACCTAGCTGGTCACCTATGCTACAGGATCAATCACAACACAGAGAGTGCAGCCGCCAGGGGAAGGTCAAGGTCGAAGGCGCTGTGACAAACCGGGTCGGACTCACGTCCTCCTCCCTGCCTTGTCGCCCTAGGCTGGGGGGGCGGGCGGCTGCGCCCCGACGCTTGGCCTACGACCCCATGATGCCGAACGGGTCGGCCGTCAGTGTCTTGTGCTCGCTGGCGGCGAGAAACTTTGCGATCGCCGGGAAGGCGGCCGTCTCGTCGGCGACGCGCTTGATCTTGGGGTACTTGCTCACCGTGTCGAAGGATGCGAGCTTGGGCGCGGCCTGGAAGGGCATGCAGCCCTTGGCGATCACGAGCACGGCCAGGTCTGCCATGGTCGGCGTCGCGAGCCCGTTGACGAAGCCGGCTTCGGGAAGCAGGCCCTCCAAAATTGGGTACCACTTCTCCAAGATCTCCGTCAGCGCGGGCCCGTCAATCTTCTTGAAGAGGAGGCTCTCGGTCGAGGCGTTGATGTCCGCCTTGATCTGCGCAAACATCATGTCCTTCCCCTTCTGCGCCGGCGTCAGGCCAGGGAAGACCTTTGGCGCGATGGAGGCCAGGTACGACTCGATCGCAGCCGTCTGGAAGAGCTTGAGGTCGCCGTGCTCGAGGACGGGCATGGTGCCGGGGAAGCCGAACGCGTTCCCAATCGCCTGGTAGCCTTGCCGCCACCCGCCCGACTCGTCAAACGCGGGTGCCCACGTTTTGTCCTCGAACTCGACCTCGCCCAGGGCACAGATCAGGCGCGCGAGCTCGCCTGCGGAAGAGGGCGGGCGCCGGTGATCGCGGCGGAGGCCCGCGGCGGAGGGTTCGTGTCTAGGTGTGGAGACGGGGTGGGGGGGTACGGAATTCGGTACGTGATGCTGTGGCGCCGACGCCGCCATCCGCGGTCTCACTCAGTGCAGAGGAATGGGAGTCGTCGGACGCAGACCTCGTCCGCAGATCGAGAAGTAGTTCAGCGTCGGACACGGCATTTTGGAGCCCTGGGCGCCCATGCACGCTCCGTTGATTGGCCGTCTGGGGGTCAGGGGAGCCCGCCTTCGAGCCTTTCGACAGCCGCATTTGAAGGAAACACGCATTCTTTTTTTGCTTCGGCGGACTCATGAAATAGGGGGGAAACCAGTTTAGACTAGTTTAGACCACTGCTAAACACGAACCTACCTACCTACCTACCTACCTACCCCCTACTTATGGGAAACTAAAAAAGAAATCAGGGACGCGTGAAGGTGGGGTACTATACCAACTAAAGCGAAGGGACATGGCAGGCCACTCTCAGGCCCTACAAGCATCAGATCACCCATTTGGGGACGTTTGACATCGTGATTTCCCCGGAAACCGGGGCTACAACGCGGGGCCATTTCCAGGCTGTCTCGGGCAACCTCAAAATTGGCGCCTCTCTCTGCTGCTGCTGCTGCTGCTGCTGGTGCTGCTGCTGGTGCAGATGCTGCTGCTGGTGCGGCGCGGCTCTCCGACTCGACTCGACGCGCGCGTCGCGGGCATCTGACGCGGCGGGCGGCGTCGCGGGCGGCAGCGATCGCGGCTCGACGGTGGAGGCGGAGGCTGGAGGCGGTGGTGGACCTTTTGACTTTATTTGATGGTCGAGTACGAGGACTGGGGGGGGGAGAGAGAGAGAGATTGTCTCAGGGAGGCAGGGGGTTCGACCAGGCGACGGAGGACCGTGGGCCATCGCGGGGACCGTTCGCCCGGAGGGCGTACTGGGCTGATCCGGATGGTCTTCACGCCGGTGGGAGGCACCGAGCGAGGCGTCTGGGACGCTCCATCCACTCTACCTAAGCTCCTGAGGGGCGCGTGGTTGTAACCACGTAGTAGGACTACAGCCCACCACAGACAGACACCCCCCCACTCCTCACGTGTGCACAAACCCTCACCCTCTCCGTTCAGTTGAGGTTCAAAAAAAGAAAGAAAACACAGCAATGGAGGATGGGAGGACTTGGCCTGTATAAGGTTTTCCGGAAAACAAAAAGGAAAACAGAGGGTCCCCAGCACTTTGCGTTTCCGGAAATTTCCAGGGAAAACAGAGGGTGTTTGGTGCTCCATTCTGGAACCTCGCTGTTTTCCCTGAGTCTGAGAGCTGGTCTGGGGCAAAATCTAAGGCAAAATTGAGGAAATCGACAAAATACCCAGGCGGTCGCAGGGTAAATTCCAGGTATGCACGCGTTCTCCGCAAAATTCCCGGCATTTTGCCGATTTGGCCTAAAATTTGGCTGATTTTGGGCCCAAACCAGCCTCGACTCGGCTCAGAGCCCAAAATTTGACGATTTCCACGGAGTTTTCCCGGGAAAAGAGAGAGGAAAAGAGAGGGTGTTGTAGAGAAAAAAGGAAAGGAAAACAGACGGGGTGCGAGAGGAAAACCTTATACAGCCTAAGGGAGGACGGCGCCGCCGCCATTCACAGGGAATTCACAAACAACAACGCCGAGGCAATATACAGACGCCGATGAACGAGCCGAAGCGCCAGCGCGCCTCCGCCTCCGAAGCGAGCCGCGGCCCGCTCGTCGTGGCCATCACAGGGGCGTCCTGCTCGGGCAAGACGACCCTCGCAAGGCTTCTCGTGCAGCGGCTCGCGAGAACTGTGAGCGTTGAGCACGTCGAGCAGGACAATCACCGGCGGCGCTCATCCCACAACCGGCTGCCGGATGGGCGGAAGACGTGGGAGGGCCCTCAGTTCACCGACTTTGCAAAGCTGCACGCATCGCTGCTCGACGCCCGCTCGTGCTGCGCATGCGTCGTGGTCGACGGCTACTTGCTTCTCGACTGTTTGCCGGAGACGCGGCAGCTGTTTGATCACATCCCGTGGGTCGAATGCAGCAAGGAGCTCGTGGCGACACGCCGCCAAGCTCGCAAGAACGGCAGGGGTGACTTCCCAACGCAGTGCTACAGGGACGCGCGGGAGTACGTCGAGGCGGCAGTGTGGCCGGCACACGAGGCCTACGTTTCTCGCGTCGAGGGCATGTCGGCGTGCGAGAGGCTGCCCGCGGGCGAGGGCGAGGACCAGCGGCTGCAGCGTGCGCTGCGTCTCTTTGACGGCTGGCTGGGGGAGCGGAGCCACGCCGCGGCTCCCAGCGGCGGCGGCGGCGTCAGAGCTCGCGGCGCGCGGCAGTACATCGAGTGCCCTTACAAACACAAAGAGGCGGCCAAGGCACTCGGCGCCAGGTGGGACGCCGGCCAGAAGAGGTGGTACGCACCGAGCGACCTCGGCCCGGCGCAGCGGGGAAGCCTTCTCGCGGCAGCCCGGCGAGGGTGGGCGAGGGTTGGCGGAGGCGGAGGCGGAGGCAGCGGAGGCGGCAGCGGAGGCAGCGGCAGCGGCAGCGGCGGCAACGGAGGCAGCGGAGGCAGCGGCGGAGGCGGAGGCAGCGGGGGCAGCGGGGGCAGCGGCGGCGGCGGCGGCGGCGGCGTGGCGGCGCTCTCGCCCGAGCAGCGGCCCTCTGCGCTGGACCTCGCCGTGCGCGCGCAGGCGCAGGCGCGCTGCGGCTACGCGCACGCGCTGGCCGAGATCCAGGCGGGCCGCAAGCGGTCCTGTTGGATCTGGTGGATCTGGCCCGCCTACTCCAAGGTGCGGACGACAGGAAAGCCGGAGTATTCGCTGCACGATGCTGGGGCGGCACTCGCGTGGCTCCACCACCCGACGCTGGGACCGCGGCTGCTCGAGATCACCCGGGCGGCAGTGCACCTCCTCGAGAAGGGCGCTCCCAGCACGACCGTCTTCGGTTCGGCCGTCGACGCGGATAAGTTCCACGAGTCGGTCTCCCTCTTTGCCGTCGCCTCTGGTGGGCACCCGGCCGCGCACGCAGAGGGAAACGCGCTGTGTCTGGCCGCGCTGCGCGCCCTCGGGCGGCCGATACACGCGGAGACGGCACGGCACGCGGCGGCCGGGCCCTTGGCCGCCGTTCCGCCATGAAAGAAAGCACGGTCCCGTCGGTGGAATATTCAAACAAAACGTGTCGCGCACCGCGCACCACACGGTGTGATCACACGCGCGCCAACCTCTACCTCGGCGTGCGGCAAGGGAGGCGGCCGGATGGTGGGGCGGTTGGGGTAGTCCTGACTAGGTCCAGCCCTGGGTGAGCCGGGTTGTGACATTTGGCGATTCCGCGGCTTACTGGGTCCCTGAGCCGCTCCCCGTGTGCGATTATTGTGGCCCAGGCATGGTACTGATAGTAAACGGGTCAGAACCGGCCAAACACAGGCTACACAGCCCCACACATGCGCCCGCCATAGCTCCTGGAGAGCGCGAGTGACGCGCTACAAGCCGCGAGAGTGGCATCAGAGGCAGCCAGGAACGACGTGCTCTTGCTGCACCTCGCAGCTGCACCGAGTGTGCTCGCAGTGTATGCCACGGCCGCCGCCTGCGGCATTGCTCTCGTGCAGCTAGGCGACGCAGGTCCATCAGCAGGGCTCATCCAATGCGAGCGCACATTGTGCGTAGCCGCGGGCAGGTGGCAGTGCACAGCCGCACACCGGCTGTGGCGGCTCGAATGCCCCCGGCAGCAATGCTGGTCATTAACTTGCGTATTGGGGCCGCAGCAGACTGCTATGTGACTGCCCCCCAAGAGGGCTCGGAGGGCTCGGAGGGCTCGGAGGGCTGGAGGGATGCATG